TTAGTAATTTTTGTGAGTAAGCCAGGTTCCCCTCAGGTGATCGAACATTATATGGATTGTAAGCAGCTAAAATACATTCGTTGCATGTCATACTACTCCTTACGTCTAATTTCGTGTAAAAGTCGTCCATAGAAGTAATAGGCTTCATTATTATTATTACTGTCCCTTGGGTTCCTAGTGGAACATAGGGCTCAGTAGCACGCCTCGATTGCACTCTGTTCTCTGCAGTCTTTTGAACCTGGCTCCACAACTGCCCGGAAGCTTACATTTCTTCCTCACTTGATATCCCCCATGTCACCCTCGGATGCCTAACTCGTCGTTTCCCCTTTGATTCCACCCGAGAACTTGGCGCGTGATGTCCCCAGTCGGGCTTCTCAGTGTGTGCCCAATCCATCTGCACTTTCTTCTGCATATTTGTCGGACGATAGATTCTTGGTTAGTTCGTTGCCAAAGTGAGTTCCTTCTTGACTATTCTTTCAGGCTATCTGATCTTTATTGTCAGTGTCAAGTGAGCGTAGGCGGCAGGTGTTGGTGAATATCTGTAGTTTGTTGGAAATGCTTTTCGTAACGCTCCAAGTTTCTGAACCATATAGAAGAACTGACGACGTTGGTGTTGAAAATCCGGGTCTTGTTCTTTGTGTTGAGTGCAGTAGATCTCCACACTGGTTTCCGATTAATGCAGAAAGGCCTGTCTTGCTTTTTCTATCCTGGGTTTAACGTTCCTATCTATGCCACCTGTGGTGGAAACGATACTGCTTAAATAGGTTAAAGGGACTAATTCCTTTAGGTTTCTCCCGTTGATAGTGATTGGTGCTAGTGTTGTTGGTTGGGTATCTTCATTGCCCCTGTCTTCTCTACGTCCACTTGAGGTCCCATCTTCGCTGTCACTTGTCAACTTGTTGGTTTTTGCCTGTAGATCTTCGAGGTAGTGTGACATTAGACATAAATCATGGGTGAAATCCAAATCTTGTGGTCTTTTCATCGGTCCAGCCAGCTTATGCCCATCTCACTCCTCACAGTTTGTTGCATAATCCAGTAGGCCACAATCAGGAAGATCATCGGTGATAGTAGGCGGCAGCCTCGTCTTACTGCTCCCTATCTTCACTTCAAAGGCGTCACTGAGCTTTCCATTGTGAATCACTTGGCATATGGCTTCTTCATATAGCTGTTGAGTGAGATTGATAACGGTTTTTTGTACTCCGTAGTGTTGAAACAGTTTCCAAATTACTTCTCGGTATAGGCTTCGTTGGGTGATGCTTTTCTGGTGAACAACTTGCTTGTCTACTGCGAAATTGATGTGCCGGCTGTGCCTTATCCTCTGCATATAGGATTCATACGGAAAGACGGAAATTGTTTGTTTCCGTGTACAACACCGCCTGCAACATGCTTCAATGAATGCAAATCGTAAATGACTTGAGTTTCGTAAGTGGCCTCGTGTTCTACAAGAAGTTTCTGTAGATCACATTTTACAGATCCATGGTATTCTGTAAAAGCTTTAGGATGGGATATTAATTAGGTGCTGAGAGATAATCGCATTAAATTAGCATTCGGGGTTAGTGGAAAAACTACATTGAGGACTAGTGGCTCTAAATACAGGAGAAACAGTCTACATTTCGTTGCCTTCCATATTGGTACGCTACTCAAAGGACGACGCTTCCTCTGAAGACCTAGATTTGTTATCCTCATATTGAATTATCCATTATCTACACAAATTACAGTCGAACCATCGTCTTCTTTTCTCTACCAGTCCTAAGCGTAAGATTATAAGTCCCTTGACGATACTCGAAGAAACTAATTGCGTGCAGTCGAGTGGAAAGTCAGAGATCGCGTAAATGGGAAGTTTCTCACAAACGAACCTGCACAATGATGTGTTCTTTGAACTAGTGTATGGAGGGCGGCGTCCGTTCTTAAAGGATAATCACTGTTAGGATAGGTCATTCTGACGTTAATCTTGCACCCTCCACGACCATAGATTGATTGAAATCTTCAGGAACACTGTGCCCGACTGTCTACTTCGCGTACGATCCTGCAGGTGTTTCAAACACTTCATCCACAGGCTTTAATTTGAAATTGTAGCGGTTACACCGAATTATGTTGTTTCTAGGCGAATAATTGAATTCGCTATACTTTCCTTCAATTTCAGGATTGCGAACTCACCTATAGTCTCTTAAGCAATCACTTATACTTCAATGCATTTTAGCTTGTAGACGTTATTGTGTAGACCTTAAAAGAATGTATACATTGATAATCACTAGAAAATATATCGTCATATTATGCATACAAGACGTACGAATTTTTATATGCGGCAAGTATGAAATACACCAAAGTGCTTACACTACTTTATGCATCTTGAATCATTCGGTATCTGAGGTGTAGATATTTGTGGGGTATTTTACGGGAAATGGACATAATTTAATGAAAATCATGGGCTATTACGACTGAGTTACAGTACATCCTACTAAGGCACACAAATGTATATACGGGGAATTCTATGGAAACACTCCGACTTTGTTGTAAATGGAGAATCACTGTTGCATTTCTCCATAAATCCCTAGATTTCGAATTTCTGTTACCCGTCTTACTCCCACTTGACGGGGAAAGAAATTGGATGTATTGTCAATTTTTTTAAATGTAGGATTTCAATATTTTCAAGTTTTATGCCACCAAGTTGTGGGAAGTCAACGAGATGATGGTAAAAATTTCTGCTGTAGGAATCGGCAGCTCCTAGTTTAGTCTTTTTGGTACGCATCGTAGTAATTGATTTATATATATATATATATATATATATATATATATATATATATATATATACGTATATATATATATATATATATATATATATATATATATATATATATATATATATATATGGTGTCCGCACATCTTTATCCTCTCTGAACCCAGATATCTGCAAGTATAATTCGAATAGTGCTTTCAGATTTAGACCGTCTGATTCAGTGTGTGGCGCTCAGAAAGGAAAATTGTTCTGGTTTCGCACTGTCTACGTATTCTATGAGGATGAACTAGTTACAAAGTTTATTTTGTGTTGTTTTATTACCTATTTAACTCAGTTAGACAAAAATAATGGACCCTTATCCTTCATTTGTTGCACATGTCACTCACTAGCTGTGCATACCATTTGTTGGATTCAGTATCAACATATTGTTTGTAGTGAAGTGGAATCTACTGCTTCTCGCACTCACAGGGAAGTAATACCATGAGATATATCCCGCTATCAAATTTTGACTTTGAATTACTTCAGTAATTTGTTCAGTTGCAGTTACGCTTAAGATCACTAAGAAAACCGGCGTTGTTGATAAGATACTACCACTGAACAACTTGAGTAGTTACAACCCACTCAAGCTGATCTGTAGGTTTTGCCTGCCTCCCAGCCAGATCAGAGTAATCTAATCCCAAGATAGCCTTTCTGCTTGTTTGGAGCCGAGCTCATTAGGGGATGTACGTGGACAAATTCAGCTCACATAACCGAGTTAGCCCATATCACCTGAATCTGGCTAGATGACTAGCATAAGCTTGTATACTTAAAACAGGATAATCAATTTGCGAATGATCTGGCTGGCTGGGGAAATCTACAGATCATATTTTTCAGTTGTAGTATCTTTCGTTAGTTCACGACACTTGTCAGAGATCGCACCTTATGATCTCGGTTGAACGGTTTCCAGCGGAAACCTTGTTGAGACCACAGTTGGGCATTTAAAAAACTACTCAACTATGAGAATTGTCAATATGGACTGTGCAATTTATAAGTCATTTGCATGTTGATCATCTCACTGTTGGTAATTTCGAGCGCATTTTGACGTTGCTTACTAAAAAAATGGTGCCTAGTTGCGTGGGAAGAGAAGCATTACTACAATGCAGCATTAGGAGTTTGGAAAGAAGCTTTCAAAAGTATTATATTTATTAGAGAGACAACTGAATATGAGACTGATCATACAGTAATGAACACATGAATCCAATTACATAAACTGTACATCGTACTTGAGTATACTTTTTTGATGAGCCTGGTAAGTGGGAATAAGATTTCATTGCGAAAGAGTTAAATATCAAAAGTAGATGGGATTTCTCACGTAAAATCTGTAGAAACCTGTATCGAAGTAACTTGAGCGTTTTTAGTTGATGATTTCAAGAATGGTAGGGTTTATGCCAGACGCAGATGCTAATAACTACCGGAAGTAGATCATAGTCCAGAATACTTTGGATAGAGTCGGTCACAATGTTTCAACACCTACCAAAATCTTGCACATCATTGTCATACATTTGTTTATTCACTTTTCTGCGCTACTTTCACTGTACATTCGAAAGGGAAACTCACTCAGCAACCATGTGGACGTTTGTGCAACTGGCAATGAACCACACCTGTTGTGTGGCGGCTAATGATGCTAACTGGGTGTCCAAGCCTCAGTAGCTGGAGCGGGATTCGACCTCGTAACCCATCTATTGAAATTCAAGCCCTCAAACCAGTGAGCCACTATTCCACATCAGCCCTCCTTCAGAAAGCACTGCACGCCATTCCTGTGTATGAAATTCGCCACGAATTACGCGATTAGATTTTCTTATTGACACACCGGAGCGTTGATGCTGCTGGAAACAATTAAAATGGACTCATGTTAACCAAATCTGCATTGTAAACTTCCAATGAATTCACCGAGTTAAGGTATTCAGAAAATTGAAACTTACCCAACACCCTTGCGAGCGTTCGTGCAGTAAGCAATGCGCCACACCTACTGTGTGAGGGCTAGTGACACTACCTGGCTGCCTAGACCTCAGTAGGTGAAGGGGGGCTCGGACCCGTGGCCTAGTGGTTGATAATCATCTCCCTAGAACACAACCACAGCTCCACAAGTAGTAGTAACCTGAGATTTGTACATCTACCTGTACGTCATTGTTTAAATACATTATATATTCTATCCTTTTTTATTTTTTAGGTATGAACAGTCATTCCAACTGACTAACTGCAGTGAAAATATTTTTGCAGAGCAATGGTAAGGTTTTTTAAATATTTCTTTGTTCATTCATTTCTTAACAGAATGCCCCTAGAAGACCTAACTTTCGAGGAAGATTTTTTAGAGGGAAACGATTTGCTTCAAAAAGTAAAGTACAAAATGATCCAGGTTGCAAACGAAAGCCATTTCAGCCTAAACATCCTCTCCCATGCAATGCTGATCCCTCAGAGAATGGATATTCTCAACTAACTGATTCTTTAGGAGTTGATTCCATTAATAGCGGGTTCCTTAATCAAAAAGCACTACCACTCGCTCCATTTGACAAGAACTGTCCATATCCTGGTTGGTTGTTGTATTTCCCGACTAAGATGTTCGATAAGTCGTCAAAAGCTGCAGTATATTCGAAGGTATTCTATTCTTGAAATTTTGTTGACTTTTGTTTTCAATTTTTATATACCAGTCATGTTCTTTAGTACACTCTCCGAAATAGTTGAAAGCCAAACGGAAGTGCTAGTTAGTGGGTTGCCTGGTCTCTAGTAAACTTTTTTCATTTTTATCCACTCTCCCAGTATATAGTAATGGACTTTTGAAGTCCGCTTCCTGGATGAAGATATTCTCGCAGTGTGTCGTTGTTCAAGGCTTCTCTTATGGTTTGCTTAGTACTAATACTTTTAGAACTTCTAATAGTTTAAATATGTTTGAGGAAGCTATTGCTGAGTTGGGATGTTCATTCATTTCGCTTTGTGCTGAGTACTTTGGGAGTGCTAACACTGACTAAATCGGGAACCTACGCATTAGAATTATGCAAACTTAGCCTTGACCATGGAAAAGATATTTTTCAGAATTCTGACTTTTTAGTCAGTACGTCGGTATTTATATAAAATTAATTGATTACTAGCTGGCTTTCGTCGATGAAGTCTCTGACTCTTAGTATTAGCCATGTAGGGAGATGTAGACGACCTGGCTGGGGTCCCCGAGTCTATAGGAATCAGAGGTTGAAGACTCTTGGTGACATGGCTGCATGTCGATCACAATGGCGCAGATGTATTCATTCCTTGACATCCTCTAAGGTTTGAATATTTACGTTAACCTTTATCTTCAAGTTGTTTATTCTCTACTGCGAGACAACGTTATCTACTTCGATATCAGTCTTTTTCTATCTACTTGTTTTTTGTGAACTATTGTGAAGTATGGCAACTTAAATCGATGCATCTATGTGCGATGTTATACGTTGATTTTGTCTGCCTGTCTGGATTATATTTTAGACTGTTTCACTGACTGCTAGTAAACATTTACTGTTTACTATACTGTGACTGAGAATCACCACTTTCCAACGTCAAACATATACTCAGTAGTATTCTTATCTGATCCAACTAAATGTGAACGCACATAATTTACTTTTAGACTGCAACTTTCATATAGAATGGTCGTTCACCAACTTTTGTCGACTACAAATTTGTGAGTTACGGGTTCAAACTCTTTCAACGGCGGGAACTGAATGGTATCATAATCCATCGTACGTAAATTATCACTCACAAGTATGCTTGTACAGGAGTGTTGAATTGCATTTATTTTTCGCAAAACAACTGAGGTAGCTAACCTCAAGTGATCAGCTGTTCAGTGCCGTAAATTATGAAAAGGTGAATAAAATGATTTCACCAAGTCGTTAAAATTTGTCTCATTAAGCTAGTAGAGAAAATTTGTAGCTCAAAGTGAGGATGATATTTGTTTAGTGTTTTCCCAGTTTCATCAGCATATTTATGACCAAGTTCATTTAAAAATAAAATATTTTAGATTCCGCTAATAGCATTAAGGAATTGGATTAAAGAATCCCACCTCACTAGTTTTGTTTTAGGCAAACAGTTAGACATATTATTTCCCACAAAACAAGTTGAGTTCACAATCTCTCTGTTATAAAAACATGTATTCGCCTTTCAAGTAGCAAAACAATGTAGTGTTGTCCCATCATTATTAACCATCTGCCTTTCGTGCACTTACGAAAAAGGTTTCAATAATTAGTTACTGAATCAATGGTTGCGTCTTTCTAAGCTTTATCCAAACTTACTTGATTTTGTGACAAATCTCATTGAGTTCATGACAACTATCTTTACTTGAGGTTGGTATGTGCTAAAAAATATGGTTTAACGAAACTTCTATGACAGCCAACTTTCAGGACAACTAATAAAGTTGAAGATGGTAAAAGTGCGTGGTAAAAGAGGATCACTGATATCGAATCCCTTCATTTGTCTACAAGTGCATCAGAAATTTTAGACCATCCAATCAAATTTGCGGAATTCTTTCTATCTTAGATTTTTTAGAGTCGGGAATAAACCACTAACGAGTAACGTTGACAAATGTTTACCACTGCACACCAAGCTTTCCTGCCTTTATAAGAAAGAGGCGTTAGGGTTTTGAAGGTAGTTGTTTAACCCTAGCTATAAATCCTAAAGTCCTACAGTTTAGAATTAAACAACAAACTAGAGGCACTGACCAAAAGCAGCTCACTACAGGTTTCCCGCTGGCTCACTCGAGAACTCGCAATGCTAATCTAGTTCGAATGAAAGATGGAGTAAAGGAATCCAGGTTGAGGTTGCGATTCAATACTACTTTGCACAACCTAATGCTAAGTCAGCACTCACAAGGAGCTGCTCAGTCTTGAAAAAGAAACCACTAGCCACTGTTGTGTCGTTTAGTATGTTATACCTGGATAAAGTTTAGAAATATTCGTGTCACACATTCATTTTATAATATCTAGGAAATTAACCCTTTTTTACTCCTTAAAATAACTATTTGTACAAGCGCTTACTTGTTTAACCAATCAGTTTTAAGCCAAACTCCAACGTTATTGGCTGTCATTAAAGTTTATTTGGTTGAATGAAGCAATTATTTGAATCTTTTCCAAGTTATTGTTTTCTGGCATTAATTTGAGCCACCAGGTATTGTTGTTGAATTTCATTGTATTTCAGACTATTCCCGTAGTCTACTTGGATCTTCTTCAGATTGGTTTGTTTAATTCCAGTGTGTTTATATCCTTAGCTGCATATAGGAAACCATTACCCATTACTCCAGCACTATGCATAATACTAACTTAACAGCTTTGCTCAAATTTGTGCAGTAGGCTCAGTTACACCTATTGTATGACGACTTACGGTATCACCAGACTGTGTAAGTTATGAGATCGCTAAGGTTAGGTAGATATCCACTGTAGAGCAATTGTTCGTTGGTGCAGACCCTTGGCTTTTGCCAAATGGGTTACATTCTATCGAGGTTTGGATAGCTCAGCAGCATTATTAGCCTTTATCATGGTTGTCGTTACTGCGTTGTGCGAGAAATGTCTTTCAAGGTAGTTTCCATGGTATGTATGTGTCTGCTTGTTAAATTGCATTTATTTCTGTGCTAGACAATTCATACAAAAGTGTATAATACAGTGACATAACTAGGTTAATGATACAATTATATGAGAGTCCATTAGAGTTCGCTATTTCTTGTAGTTTACCTGTTGTGTAAAATATGAAGTTCTTTGTCGGTATGTGAGACCCTTACAAATTGACGTTACATTTCAATGGTATTTAATGGAGATTGATTTCAACTGTCACATAATCTGCTTCCTAACCAGCAAATATTGCAATCAGTAACGTTCACTTGTAGTCAGTATTGACATATTCACACATGATACCCGTATGCCGATTGGTGCTTATAGGTTCGATCCAATGGGGAAACAATGAGAAATTAACCAAACCTGATAGGCCAATCAATGTCATTCAGATGTTCGAAGCGAAGTGTACTCAATACATAACTCATACGTGATAATGAAACATGCCCATGGAGTCATAAATAAAAGAAGAGATAACCCAGTGAAGGAAATTTTCTTTTTCGATGATATCATTTTTCAAGGCTGCATTTATATATCACAAACGTATAACAGTCTATTATTCAACAATAGGGTATAACTGCCTGAAAACTTGCTCCTGTGGAGCTAGTTATATAAGCTGCACAAGTCGCGCACTTTCCAAAAGCATACGTCAGCACTATCCTGCATGGTTGTCGAGGGGAGAATGTAAATCAATTAACAGCTCAGTTTTTGAGCATTTAGTCAACTCTGGACATAAGGCTCCGCTATAGTCCTCCTTCGGTGTCATTCATTGAGCTAAAGGGAATAGTTCAAAAGTACTCCTTCGACAGTTGTACACAACAGAAGCACTGGCAATTCGCCAATTCAAGCCTAGTCTCTCTCTCTCTCTTACCATGGTTTTAACACACAACTTTTCGATTTCATTATAATTAGTTAGCTTATTATTATCACCTTCATTATAACCCTTGTCTCATTCTTTACCCTCTTCATATCTATCTATCAGGTGGACACTCAATATTCACAATTCTTATCTACCAAACGTTTTCACCTTGTCATACTCCCTGCCTTCTTCATCGTTTCCACTGTCCACAATATTATTACTCAACTGTTCTCCGTTCTTGATTTCGATTTACTAGCACTAACCGAACGATGCAATTATACCCTATTGCTTAGTAATAGACTCCTATACGTTCGTTAAATGTAAATATGACTGTACAGCTCTAGAAAATGATATTGTTGAAAAAGAAAATTTTCTTCCCTGGGTTACATCTTTTCTCTATGGCATACATGATACCTAAAGATCGCAGGTCAGGCAGAGAATCTATGCAGTCAAATTACACAACAGCCAAAAGACACAACTAATCATAAACTAGTTCGTCATGGCAATCTACTGACTCACTCTTGGAGAGATCGACAGCTCACTTCATAATGAAGCTAGCACTGATGACGATATTGTCTAGAAAGACATGAAAGCACGATTAAACCACCCATATCAGAGATTCTACTAGTAGTTATCACGTAATACTATCGACACTTATGAGAAGGGATTAAACGTGCGCTATTTGAGCACTCATCAACAAGTAATTCGATTGACTCTAAAGGCCACCTTAGCAACTACTGGGATAACCAATCAGGTTTGTTCATTTCGGCTAGGAAGACAGCTTTTCTTAAAATATCGAAACCTGATTGGCTACCATATTGGTTACTGAGGTGGCCTTTAAAGTCCCTCAGTAGTTTACATTCTAGTGTTATTTGTTTCTAATTCTTTCCGAACCAATGTTTCTTGTGTACACCAACTTACTTTTTACCTTTCTTTTTGTTTTTCAGATGATGATTGATTTCATCAGTGATTTAATACAAAAATCTGGATATAATCTTTTACCTACTTCCAATACTATTGATACTGTAACAAATCTTGTCGGGAATAGTATGGATTGGATGAAAATTGAAGCACAAGGCTCTGTACTCATTGACTATTCAACACTTATTCATGCTAAATTATTGCAAGATAAAGTTGATATGAATAAGTGTTTTGGTGATTTTGTGTCAGGTGGGATAGAATGCGCTGAACACTGTGAAATTATATTGCGTTCTCTTGGTTTAGCGTTGCATTCTTTGTGTTATAGAACAGCGTATAAACAAGATTCTGTACCAGATATTTTCAAAGGTTAGTATATGTTCAACATGTTTTATTGTAATACTGATTATCTAGATCATACACCTGTCCTATAATGTATGTAATTGAGCTCATTGGTGTAAACACACACTCTCACCCGATGGGGCACTGATTTAAACTCCGCTCCACCTAACGAGGTTTAAGCAGATAGGTAGTATAATTAGACCTCGCATGATAAGTATGGCCCTTTAATTGTTGCACAAATGTGTACTTGATTGCTGAGTGCATTTCGATTCCTTTTTTTCGATAATCTATATTACAGTTTTATTAGGATGAATCTGTTATGACTTCGACTGGTTGTAATTGTGTGAAACATGTGATTCTGCGATTCACTGCCACCGTTGACCGTGCATGTGGTTGGATTTTGTATGCTAATGGAGGTGTGTACCTGTGAGTGGTTGACACTTCCTGGCTGTGCAAACCGCGGAAGTTGTTTTCACAGAGTATGCGAAAGGGAAAAAGATTTGTGTGACTTTAGAGCCCATGGGACATTTGCTTGAGGCCTGTCACACAGCCTTTTCAGGATTGTTGTTGTGAGATGTAATTGTTTCAATGTTGGTTAGGAAAACTCTTGCTGCGGTTACTGGAAGACTGCAGTTTAGGAGTGTGCTATTTTCGGGGTTACGTTTTTCTGACCCCCACTTCCCATAGGTAAGGCATCATCAGCATTATACTGCAGGTCATTCTCAGGAGACACGTTTTTATTGTCACACGCCATCCAGTCAGCAGTACAACTTCACCGTCGGCCACCCATCATAGCGTACCAGTTTACGCTATAACGGTAACTACTTTTCTTCTTACCACTATCCAACAGACTTTTCTGGCATAATAAGACCTCGAGGTAGCAAGCGTTCCAGCCCGTGTAGCTCGTTGGGTCGTTTTGGTACAACAACGTGACGACCATGCCAGCTAGATTATTTGATTAGATATTAGTTGAAAATAAACTTTCACTCGCCATACTTTATTCAATGATTTTGTAACTGTACAATCCCATAAATATTAAGCACGTGACTGTTTCAGTCTATTTACACATCTCAATTGATTTGTATTGAGTTTAAAAAGGGTTGTCGCAATGAAAGCCATCGAATCAGTACACTTTTCTGTTCATTTAATAATCTCGAATAACTTTGTTACTAAGACATTCAAATTATCAACTGACATACCCGCTCAGATTTTCCGGCGTCATATGTATATTTTTTGTTGCTTGGAACTTCCAGTAGAAATCACACCTTGTCCAGAAAGACAGATAGACAAAATCAGCGTAGAACCTCACGAAAATACATCGATTCAAGTTGCCACGCTTCAAAGAAACACTTGAGAAAGAGTGGTATCACAGCAGAGAAAAATGTATCGGAGGATAAGGAATCTGAAAATGAAAGCTAGTGCAAATATCTAAGCTTTAAAACACACCAAAGAGTGCATGCGTCTACACCATTTTATTCATTTATTTTTCCCTTGGGTTCTTAATGGAACATTGGGCTTGAGTATCACGCCTTCATTTCACTCTGTTCTCTGTAGTCTTTTGGACGTTGCACCACGACTGCCCACAAGCTTTCATCTCTTTCTCACATCATCTCCATGTCACCCTCGGACGCCTAACTTGTCGTTTTCCTTTGGATTCCACTCGAGGGCCTTGTGCGTGATGTCTCCAGTGTATGCCCAATCCATATGCACTTTCTTCTGCATATTTGTTGGGTAAAAGGTTCTTGGTTGGTTCGTTCTCAGAGTTCCTTGTTGCTTATTTTTATCATTCTGGTCATGTGATCTCAGTATCGAGCCGGCATAGGCAGGTGTTGGTGAATATCTGTAGTTTGTTGGAGTTTCTTTTCGTGACACGCCAAGTTTCTGAACCATATAGCAGCACTGACGTGACACTGGGCGTCTACACCATCGTTACCGGTTTTTATACACGTAATCGAGAGTCTCCGACCGTTGATTCCTACTACTTCGAGGACTCTAACCAGATAGTTTACACCTCCCTACACTGTCAAGTCGGAGACTTCATGGGCTGGTGCTATCTCTTTGTCTGACCACATTGGACCTTCTTCCAACCCAGTCCTACTCCTGCTCACATTGCACGCCGAAGTAGACAATGAATTGACATGCACAACTTGTACCCAAGCCATCTCAGTCGGTGAAGGTTCATAACCCCATTGACTGACTTACCCGTTTCGTCTAATACCCTTCACCTAACCTCTACATTATTATTCACTCGGTGATTGCACCACATGCCGTAATATGCAAACCCAAATTTGTTTGAATTTCGAATCCATATACTTTAACACCAGTTGCAGGTAGTCAATGTTAATTTGAGCACATAGTAAACTGAATGCATAAAAACCTACGTAGGTTTTCATGACATAATCTGCGAGTTATGTTGTGTACTTTTTATATTAGACTGGATAGATATAATTAATACAGGCGTCTCTTTTCAATTGTTATTGCGAAATGTAGTTAATACTGAATCCACTGGAGTAAACCAACGTCTACCTGCTTATATTGCTGCTCGTATTGTAAACCATTCACCGATTACTCCATTGAGAAAGTTACGTGCTCATCATTTAGGACAATTTATATCCGTCAAAGGTATTGTTGTACGCCTTGGCCCTGTAAGTACTATATGTTCTTTTCATTTTTCTGCTGTTATTATTTGTAAAAATTGACTTTACTATGCTTTAATGTACCTCTACAGACAGACAAAATAAACCTCGCACACAAGTTCTTCGGCTCAAGTTGCTGCACTTCACTGTAGTACACAAAGAACAAGTAGGTGGAGAAAGACTGATATTGAAGTAGACAAAATTGTGAGAGGATAAACAATTAGAGGATAAAGGTTAGTACAACTATTCAAGCTTTAGAAAACATCGAAGAGTGAATACATCTGAGCCATTTCATCCCATTCTCAGCCATTTCACCAAGAAGCCTCAACCACTGACTTCTACCATCTTGAGGACTCCAGGCAGGTATTCTACACGTCCCTACACAACTCAGACTGACAACCAGAGACTTCATTCACTAGTGCCACGCCTTGGTCTAGCCGCCGTGAATGCTCTTCCAACTTAATTCAACTTCCCCTGGCATGGGACGTCGAGATAGGCGGTGGATCAGCATGCCCAAACCATCTCAGTCGAGGAAGGTTCACAGCCTCATCAATCGACTTTCCTATCTTGTCTAGTACACTTTGTCTGACCTCAACATTGTTCACACGGTGATTTCACCAAAGGCGAGGAATGCTAAGAAGACACCTGTAATCAAAACCTTTTAACCGCCTCATGTCTGCTACGTTTAACGGCCACGTCTCAGCCATAGAGCGGGATAAAGCGTACTGCAGTGCTGTGTACTCGTCGTTTAATAGATAGTCGAATATCTCACCCAGTCGACATCATAAATAATGCAATTCGGCAAATGCCAAACGTATCTCCTGCATCCAAGCTGGAATTTCATCAGCAACTAGCCCGCTCGAACTGATGCAACTCCGCAAGTAACTAAAGTGGTTAACACATCCCGCCACTTCACTTCCTATCATTAAACTGGGAATAGTAAGTCCCGTCTAGTCCTGAAGCATTATCTTACATTTTACAGGTACAAAACACATGCGAAACATACTCAGATCTCTGTTCAAGGCGTCGAGAAGACCTTGCATTTTATCAGCGTCTTCATGCAGCAGGACATTATCGTCTACATACTCCAAGTTAACCACATGACCTCTAGGGAGTAGATCATTCTCTGTAAAGTCAGACTTACTTAAGGTTATGTCCATTAGCACTTCTGTGACGAAGTTAAATAGATGTTAGTTGGTTGGAAGGGATCGATAGGCAGCCCCGGACCTAGGTTTCGTGCTTGTTGGCACTCGTCAGCAAGGCGTACCTGCAATCTCTAAGGAAATAATGTCCCGTATGAGATTTTAACCCTGCGGACTGTATGCTTTGTAAATAGCTGATTTGATCACATTTTGAATCAGTCGATAACCTCCAAAGCTCAGTGTTCGATGATTTGTTGTCACCGTCAGTAATATAAAAGGTTCTAACAGCATTCGCCAACTAGTCTTAGTGGTAATTATTTTGATCACCTAAAGTATAGCCTAACAAATCTAAGCATCAAAAGCTGCAGTTTCCTTTCCTTGACGATATATTAGTCCTGGTACTAACCGCTATGCATAGTGCTATATTACTGTAGGTTTCCTGATTAGTTTATGATGGATCATGGCTAGCAGTGGAATCCTGATTAATGCCTACAAGATAATCAGAATCGGTGGTTGGAGAATCTGACTGTGAATCTCTGTTGCAGGCGTCGGTATACTGTGTAGTGATAGAAATGTCCTACTTTTCGGATTAACTCTTTCTAACCCCCTTTCTATACGGAAGGTAGCGGAGGCATGGTACTGTCAGTCATCCAAGGGAGACACCTTACTGCTGTCACACTTCTGTTCAGTCAGTAGTACGACTTCTTCCCCGGCACCCCATCGTAGCATAGTAATTTACACTATAATCGTAACTGGTCTCTGTCTGACCATTATCCAGCAGACCTTTCTCGTATGGTAGGACCTCGATGAAACAAGCTTTCCAGTCAGTCTACTTTGTTGGGTCATTGTGATATACAAGCCATACTACCTCATCAGTTACCAGCCATCGGTAGGGAACTTGGACATGTGTTGCTCATGCCGACCCACCGCTTACCTCGACATGCCATCTTAGAGGTAGCTGGATTAGGTTGGAATAGAATTCATAGTTCTCAAACCAAGACATGATACTAGTGGATGAAGTCTCTGACTGTTGGTCTGAGCCATATGGGGAAATGTAGACTACCTGGTTGGGGTCCCCAAGACAATGGGAATCGGTGGTTGGTTTGGCTGGAAATCGGTGATAGTTGTGCAGATGTATTTTCTCCTAGATATCTAAGTTTGAATATTCGCACTAACGTTTATCTTCAAATCGTTTATTCTCTCACACAACCTCGTGTACTTTGATATAACTCTTTTTCTATCCACATTTTCTTTGTATACTACTTTGAAGTGTAGCAACTTGAATCGGTGCACTCGTGTGTGCGAGGTTCTACGTTGATTATACCTGTTTCTGTCTGATAGCTGCAGACTTCAGAAGATGTTTTGCAGCTACATTTACACCTTAGAGTTTTCTACATTTTTAGATTTTTATTATCACATGTCCTTCTTCAAATCAAGTGTTTCCAAACCACACCACTTTAAATTAGAATGACAAAATGCAGTGAAATAGACGAAGAAGTTGTTTTTGAACTCCGATCTGACCAACTGACATTGTTATTTTGCGTGAGTAGTACTAGCTGGTAATATATGGTTTACAGTTTTTGTGTACCTTTATTCTCTTTAACCTTTTGCTTTTGTCTTTCGGCTTTTGATAACCAGCGTTATTATTTCCATCTTAGTGTCTTCCATGTTGTTGATATGCGTCTGGATGTGGTGATTTGAAGCATGGAATCTAAGACGCCAGTTCCAGTGTTACTTGTATGTGTATGTCACATTCACATAAGAATTGGCAACTACGCGTACGTCGATGGTCTAAGCTTTGAGCTATTTGTTGAGTGGCGGCCATCTAAACTGATTAACGAGTTATAGTTCAGTACATTGATCCTAAAATACTTGCTTACAATTAATTCGTTTTTCTTTTTGATTTGTAGGTTGAACCAGTTTGTCATCGTTTAGTCTTTGAATGCTGTCGATGTGAAGCTAAACAAGTTTTAGTATTACCACAAAATGGCAGTTATACTGTGCCGAGCAAGTGTCCGACAAAAGATTGTCGATCAAGAAGCTTTGAACCATTGCTGAATCATCCAGACACGTTAACAATCGATACTCAGGTTAGTTAGTATAATCTGCTGATTGAAATCTGTGTGCCTCAAGGTGCAGTACTTTCTCCGTTTCTATTTTCTTTCATGCATGATTTATCTTATTCTGCTGAAACTAAATTGATTAAGTATGCTGACGACCTGAAGGTTTCTGTGTGCCAGCTAACTCTCACCTAGAGATAGCTCTAAATTAAAAGATTTCTTGTCTGGAAATTGACCAGTGGTCTTTCTCAACTGGTTTTAAGTAGAACCCTTCTAAATGTCAGGCTGTTAATTTTAGCCTCACTTGTAAAATAGAGTTGTGTGAGCTGCTTAGGTTCTATGACTCGTGTTGTATTGATGGTATTTCTGTAGAAAGCAAATCAAATGTTAACTACCTTGGATTGGGTTTTACTTCTGATCTTCGATGGTCATCTCATATTTAGTTGGTTTCTCAGAAAAGTTTTCGTTTAACGTATGACATAAAGAAAGGGAGACTCTGTGGCATGATCTATTAATTCCTGTACTTCACCTATTCTTCTCTATTGTTCCCCGTTGATCTTTCCTAGTCTATGGAAAAATGACTCTTTTGTATTGCATGGTGCTTTGAAATCTGTCAGTAGGGTAAATGCAGTGGCTCTGGCTCAAGTGATAAATACTGTAGTTGACAGACATTTAAATTGTAGCAGGCAACTAAAGTAGAGTCACTTTTTATGATACTGAGCATCCACCTTGTTCACAGCTCTCTCCTTGTATCTCCTCAGGGAGTACTAGAAGAAATTATATGATACTATGCGATTGTATCATCAACAACTGCTTACGCTGGCTCGTTACTGAAGATCAGATGGCCAGAAAAAATAAGCAACAAGGAACTCTGGGAACGAAGCAACCAAGAACCTATCACGCAACAAATATGCAGGAAGAAGTGGAGATGGATTGGCCATGCACTGAGAAGGCCGACTGAGGACATCACGCGTCAGGCCCTCGAGTGGAATCCCTATGGGAAGCGACGAGTTGGACGTCCGAGGGTGACATGGAGGAGGTCATGCGAGGAGGAAATGAGAGCTTGTGGGCTGTCGTGGAACCAGGTTCAAAAGATCTCAGAGAACAGAGGTCACTGGAGGCGTGCTACTGAAGCCCTATGTTCCACTCGGAACCCAAGGGACTAATAATAATAATAATAATAATGCGATTGTATGGCTAAATATAAGAATTCAATTGTGCCTGTTTTACCTAACACGAATCTTATGTGAAGAGAAAAGTGTAGGACCAGAACTCACTGATCAACTGTGTAACAATAAATAAACATTCCTTCCAATATTTTAAGCGTTAGTGTAAACATTTCCTTCGTTACTAATAATATTTACATAATTTGAATTGCTTCAATTAACACTATTCGAAATGTTGTAAAGGATTATATGTATATTTGTTGCAATATTACATGCTGAAAATTCCAATTGTAAGAAAAACTATCTGGAATAAGGTGTTTACTATTACTGTTACTTCTAACTGATATGAAAATATGCTGTTGCCTAAGGATATTAACAGCCGTTATAGAACAACTTATTTTTAACAATAATTAAGTTATGTATAGTAATGATGGGCAGTGGCTAACAATCAACGATGGTGTAATACAAGCAATAACACTAAACCTATACCCGTCGCACAAGAAGTGGCTATCGTGGCTCGGTGGTGTAGTGGATAAACGCGCTGGCGTTTGAAGCGATCGCTCCCGAGTCCGAGTCCCGGTGGGAACAACATCACTTACTGGGAAGCAGGTACATCCAGCTGACGAGTCCCAAATAGGACGAAATGCGCATCTTGGATTCCACTGCTAGCCACTGCCCATCATTAATATACTTAATTAAAAACACAGGCAATATCGAGGCATCCGCACAGGAGCCCATATGCCAAAGAGACTGATCGATTCGGTCCAATCAACGACGGTGTAATACAAACAATAACACTAATAATTAAGTTACTGATGAAGACGAAAAAGATGAGATTCCATGGAAGTTTATCATTTGCATCTTTATATGGATTATAGGCAACTATAAATCATCCAAAGTGGGTAATGAAATACCTTCATGACATACAGCTTTTTTGATCTGCTGGTCATGCCTAGAGTTCTTTCTACTTTGATTTCAGTCACACTCAGTTCACTCCATTTTCATCTTTATTTACTTTTCTGGATGACCAGCTTTATGAAATTGAGCTTAATATCTACCTTATTATATGAATAGCTTGTCACCAGTCATGTGGTGTTTCTGCATACATTTAGAACACCGAGAATGTTCAATGCTTTGGTGTGCTAATTCTTAATTGATATTTATAAGATTTGGCTTCCTCTGAGCCATGTTAGAGGAAGTTGGATAAGGTTAAAAGAGGGTTCAGTATCTCCAGACTAAGACAGTATCAATGTATGAATTCCCCGACTGTCGGTCTGAACCATGTAGGCAGGTGTAGACTACCTGGCTAGGGTCTCCGATACGGTGGACATCATTGGTTAAGGACTTTTGGGGAAATGGCTGAAAATCGATCGCAATGGTGCTGATGTGTTCGCTCTTTGATGTCTTCTAAAGCTTGTATTTTTTTTGACTAACCTTCAGTTTTAAGTTTCTTCTCCTTCCTCCATACACATTTGTCTACTTTTTTTTATCAGTCTTTTACTAACCAGTTTTTCTTTGTATACTACTGTGAATTGTGACAACTTGAACGCATTCTCTTCTGTCCGATGTTCTACATTGATTTGTTTATCTGTGTCTCATATAGGCTAAAGATGTCCAGTGACCACATTGAAAATATAGAATATCTGATTGAGGAAAGACAAAGAATACCTGAGAATTCCTAGAAGCTATTCATTTGGGTCAATCAGCAACCAGTAGATACATAAACACACCCATTCTGTCAACGAATGAGAAAAATGATAACCGCAAGATCAGAAATTAAGCAGAGAAATGGCCAATAGAAAAATCTATGCAGTTAATGCCAAAACAGTCAGAAGAAGGTACCAATCAGACACCACCTTCTGAATCACTCGAATAAATCCTGATGACTCTATTCATATAGAAGTTATTGCTGGTGATTTTGCCTTGAAAGACAATGAAAGCTTCGTGATTAATCCACCAAGGTTAGAGAAGTCAACACAGCCGACTGTAATAGGATCTTTGAGTTCATTCGGCAATAAACACTTTCCTTTCAAACCCAAACAAATGTTCATCAATAACGCTGATTATTTACTGGAGTCAATAAATCATTTCGACTGTATAACTATGACGAAATGTTCGAAAAGACCACAATACAAGCTATGATCAGTTTACTCTTCGTGAAGCATGACCATTAAAGATAGATGATATGAAAAGGCTTCTCATGGTGGACTGTTGTCTTCGTAGCATAGGCTATGTGTTGTGGTGTCACTGCACTAGTAGTTCAGGTGTCATATGTAGTGTTTTAGGGAGAAAGTCAGTTGATAATGTCGTGAACCTTCATCGACTGAGATAACTGTAACATATGTTAGCTGGAGTAGGTTCACACTGGAAAAAGAATTGTCAGTCAGACTGAAACATGGCATCACTGCATGAAATCTTTGACCATTGGCTGAGCCTTACAGGAGAATGCAGACCTCTCAGGTGAGAACTGTACTGATTTAAGTTGTGGCAACTTGGACTGTTGGGCAGTAATGCCTGCTCCTATGTTATTGATGATGATGAAACTCTTCGTTAGTTGTAAACTGTCAGGAATGCAGCAGTTGGAAAAGAAACTAATGTATATTAAACTATGTTATACTAAACTAATGTATACCCATTTCGGATAACTTCTGATATTTCCTTTCCTACTTTTTTCTTTTTTCAATAAAATGTAGATTATTACAATTCAAGAGGCGTCTGATAATCATGAAATTCGTGATGGAAATCGTCATGAGGCTAGTTCAAGTACTACATCGATTGGTCGAAGTTCACGGTGTTTAGCGTGTAGACTAGAACGTGATTTAATTGATTCATGCATTCCAGGGGATGTATTACATTTAAGTGGTTTGATTGGTCTCATCAGTACTGATGGTTTAGGTGCATCATCTTCATCATCCAGTGCGTACACATCATCTTGGTCAAGTCGTCGCGGTGCTACAATGTTCAGTTTAATATTAAATGTAAATAGTTTAATTTGTTTAAGCGGTGGCGGAGGTGGTTGTGGAAGAAATGGTGTATCCCGTAGTGGCAGTACATCAACTACAGACGATAATCAGAGATTACTTGTCTTATTATCGAGTGAAGCTGAGCATCCTGATAGCCAAATGACAAATGATGTTGATATGCCTAAAGTTATATCCAGTTTAGGTAAGAGGTTATTACTATTTTTAACACATTTGTGATACTTAAAGGTAATTTTCACATTTTTATTGTTGTCAAATTAAGAATTAGCGAATGGTTAACTTACTTTTGATAATCCATGAGCTTTGTGTGTACTCACGCAAGATAGGCTAAACCTCTGCGTGGTCGTACTAAGACAACAGCGGTTCATAGTTTCAGTTGTATTAGATATTGGTATTTTCCTAGCTGGCTGCATGAAATGTAGAAGTCGATGGTTCATTTCTTCACTGTATATTCCCCACCTTTCATACATTTCCTTCCTAATTCCTTCTATTATTTTCCCCTTTCTTGCACCATTGATATCATTATCAAAATTACGGATGATATTGAGGCATCCGCCCAAGAGTTCATGCCAATATTAGCCGATCAATTCGATTCAATCAACAATACAGATGTACGAGCTATAACACCGATAAAACCAACCATGCTATACCCGTTGCACAAGGAGTGGTTACTATGACTCAATAGCCTAGTGGATATCGCTCTGTTGTTTGAAGCGATCGGTCCTGGGTTTCAGTCTTAATGGGAACGTCACTCACTAAAAAGTAGATACATCTAGCTGTCGAGTCCCAGATAGGACGAAACGCGCGTCTTAGATTCCACCTCTAATCACTATCCATTTCCTGGGTTGTATTTCTGATTTTGAGAAGTGTAATGACTTGGACACTGTCACTACTATTGTTTGAAATTCTGGGTTCTATTTATTTGTCGATGCATAAGTTCCAGGATCTCATACCTAAGATGTTCAGGTTTCATGATAAGAACACTTCGCCAAAATGCCTACTGGAATGTAATCTGGAGGTTGATACTTTCCATCTGAACATGAGTAATTATTAATGTTGGGCTAAAATACTCTGTTGTTTTTTTAAACTTCATTTTTGGTGTGTCTGGTGTGACCGATACGTCTTATGACGACTGTCAGTACAAAGGAAAATAAATCGAGAACCACTCAGCAAGCGTGTGCATATTCGTGCAGTAGGTGGCGATGAGCCACATCTATTGTGTTTAGGGTGGCTGATGATACTACTTGGCTCCCAGAACTTAGTTAGATGGAGTGGGATTCGAACTCATCAGTTGGGTGGTTTGGCAGTATAGTAATTTACTATATGGATTCTTTCGTACAAAAAATGAAATTTTCATGATAAACGGATGCCCATGGTAAATGGATGTGAAATAAGAGTAACTTTATTTTGTAACAACTAACCAGGAGCAACTACCCAAATAGAATTGGTAGTAGTATTTTCTTGATTGTTCTGAGTGTTGGTTACATTTTTTCCGGTCAGTTGGTAGTCTGCATACATGTACCACTAAACATTGTACCAAGGTACGTTTTTGCTGGGTGTTTTCAGCGGGTTTGACATACCACCCTTGTTCACGCTACACTGAATGCATTGTGAGAAACATTTAACAACTGTTATCCATCCGTATCCGAACTCCTGGTTTTTTCTGGCTTATGCATTGAACATTCACACTATCCACGAAGCTTTGGGTGACCTAGTAATATCATCATCATCATTATCAACATAGGACCAGGCATTACTGCGTAACGGTCCGAGTTGCCACACCTCATATCAGCACATCAAGTAAAAAGGTAGTGAGGTGAAGGATGAAGATAAGTGAATGCAGTCAAAAGAAATATAAAGTACGAGAAGAAAGGAAAGAGGAGTGACAAAATAGTGAGATTCGGTATAGCGTTGTTAAGATGAGGATAATGTGTGTATACATCTGCGCCACTGACTTCGGTTCTGAGCCATATCACCTAGGGTCTCCAACCACTGGTTCCTCTTGTCCCGTGGACCCCAACCACCTAGTCTGCATCGTCCTACATGGCTTAAACCAACAGTCAGAGACTTCATACATTGGTGCCATGTTTTAGTCTGGCCACCTCGGGCCTTTTTCCAGCCTGAACCCACCTCAGCCAACATTGTGTGACGAGGCAATCGGTGACTAGGCATACGTAGTACGTGTCCCAACCATCTCAGTCGATGAAGGTTCACAACCTCGTCGACTGACTTACCTCTTCTCCCTAAAACTCTACACCTAACTTCTGCATTACTCACATGGTGACACCACGGAATACGTCCTATACTACGAAGGCAACGGTGGTCAAATACCTGTAACCTTCTCATGTCTTCCACTTTCAATGGCCATGTTTCACAGCCATACAGTAGAACAGAGCGGACTGCTGTGCAGTACACGCGACCCTTAATAGACAAACGAATATCACGGCGGCGCCATAGGTGGCGCAAATTGGCAAAAGCCAATCGAGCCTTTTGTATCCGTGCAGAAATCTCATCGGCAACTAACCCACCGGAGTTGATCCTACTTCCCAGGTAAGTGAAGTGGTCAACACACTCAACCACTTCACTCTCTATTGTTAACCGCGGTACCGCTGAAGACCAGTCCTGGAGCAAAAATTTGCATTTGGGTGGTGAAAATCGCATCCCAAACATTCTCAAATTCCCACTCAAAGTGTTCAGAAGACTCTGCATCTTGTCAGCGTCTTCACCTAACAGGACTATGTCATCTGCATATTCTAGATCTAAGGAAAATTCACCTGTGATCCGGTCAACGTCTTTGTAATTAGGTGACGAGAGGGAAACCTCCATAAGAATATCTATGATAAAATTAAATAAGAATGGGGATAGTGGGCATCCTTGACGGACACCACTTGATGAGTATAGCTCCCTGGACAACTCACCATAGGCTCTAACATGCCCACAAGTGTTCGAGTAGAGAGCTTTCAATAAGGTGATGTACTTACTAGGCACGCCTTTCAGTGACAGACACTGCCATAAGACTTCTCGATCAACGGAGTCAAATGCCGCCTTCAGGTCGAGAAATACAGCTATTGTCGGGCGTCTGTAAGCATGCCTATGTTCCAGGACCTGGCGCAGTGTGAATATTTGGTCGATACATCCACGGCCAGGTCTAAAGCCTGCCTGGTTTTCTCGGGCTTGCTGTTCCCGAGCTCCACTCAGGCGTCGGAGAATTATAGAACTTAGGATCTTAGACACTATGTTTGTCAGGCTGATTCCTCTGTGGTTATCACAAGAGGACTTCTCGCCTTTCTTGAAGACTGGGATGATCAGTGACTTAGACCAGTCGGAGGGGATCGTATTTGATTCCCATATACTGGCTAACACTTCCGTTAGCCTGACTAAGAGAACTCTACCACCATTCTTGTATACCTCAGCAGGTAGTCCGTCTGGTCCTGCTGCCCTTCCCCGTTTCAGGCTACCTACCGCTTTCTCAACTTCTTCTAGTGTTGGGGGACCTGTCTCTATGTCCCATTCAGGGTCCGACTGGATAGCGGGCAGCGCAATGGTGGCTGGAGGCCAGTTAAACTGTTCCTCAAAGTGTTCTTCCCATCGTCCCAGTCGCCTTCCCTGCGAGTGAATCGCCGATCCGTCCTTCTCCGCTATAACCTCACTAACTGTTGTTGACCATTTCCCCCAGTCTCCTTTATTATATTATTATTAGTACCTTGGGTTCCTAGTGGAACATAGGGCTTCAGTAGCACGCCTCCAGTGACCTCTGTTCTCTGAGATCTTTTGAACCTGGTTCCACGACAGCCCACAAGCTCTCATTTCCTCCTCGCATGACCTCCTCCATGTCACCCTCGGACGTCCAACTCGTCGATTCCCATGGGGATTCCACTCGAGCAACTGGCCTGACGCGTGATGTCCCCAGTCGGCCTTCTCAGTGCATGGCCAATCCATCTCCACTTTTTCCTGCATATTTGTTGCGTGATAGGTTCTTGGTTGGTTCGTTCCCAGAGTTCCTTGTTGCTTATTTTTTCTGGCCATCTGATCTTCAGCAGCGAGCGTAAGCAGTTGTTGATGAATGTCTGTAGTTTATTGGAAATGCCTTTCGTGACGCGCCAAGTCTCTGAGCCATACAAGAGCACTGACTTGACGTTGGTGTTGAAAATCCGTATCTTGTTCCGCATGCTGAGTAGAGTGCAGAAGATCTCCACACTGGTTTCAGGCTAATGAACGCCTGTCTTGCTTTTCCGATTCTGACTTTGACGTCCTCGTCCGTCCCGCCTGTAGTTGAAACAATGCTTCCTAGATAAGTGAAGGAGGTTACTTCCTTCAAGTTTCTCCCGTTGACGGTGATTGGAGTTTGTTGTTGTTGTTGATGGTGGTGGTGCGGTATCTTCATCACTTCTGTCTTCTCTATATTCACCTGAAGTCCCGTCTTCGCTGCCTCTTCTGTCAACTTGTTAGTTTTTGCCTGCAGATCTTCAAGTTTATGTGACATTAGGCATAAGTCATCGGCGAAATCCAAGTCTTCTAGGTTCTTTTCCGTCGTCCAGTGTATCCCCTCTTCTCGCTGCCTACTGTTTGCTGCATGATCCAGTCCACCACAATAAGGAATATCATGGGGGATAGTAGGCAACCTTGTTTCACTCCTGTCTTCACTTCAAAGGCATCACTGAGCTTCCCATTGTGGATTACTTGGCATGTGGCATCTTCATATAGTTGTTGAATGAGGCGGATAAAGGTTTGCGGTACTCCGTAGTAGTGAAGCAGTTTCCAAATTACTTCTCGGTCGACGCTGTCAAAGGCCTTCTCAAAGTCGATGAAGTTGAGGTAGAGAGCTGATTGCCATTCTACGCTCTGTTCTATGATGATACGAAGTGTTGCAATTTGGTCTGCACATGATTTGTACTTCCTGAAGCCTGCCTGTTCCGGTCGTAGTTTTGAATCCAGTGCATCCTTAAGCCTCTCCAGGATGATGCGACCTAACATTTTGCTTGCTCTGGGTGGACAGGAGAGTGATTATGCGCCACTTCTTGCAAACACTGAGGTCTCCCTTCTTCGGCAGTTTGACAAGGTAACCCTTCTTCCAATCAACTGGCAGGTAGGTACCTTCTCTTCCTTCCACACCTTCTGCAATAGTGGTGTGAGCATGTCCGCTGTTGTCTCTGCGTCCGTTCTCAGTGCTTCTGGCGGTATTCC